TATCAAATATGTTCACTAATTGACATGGTTATCCTTTTATATTTGTAAAATACCATATTTTTTTCAAGGCTTCAATATATTTTTTAAAAGCTTGTTTTATCTATTTAGAGTTAAAGAAAATTCTGTACTTTAATATCTTCTAATATTTTAAAGAGTACAGCCATTTTTTTCTAATATTTTAGAAAAAAATGGTCAATATCTATCAAAAAATATTTACACTACTCATTGCGATTAACTTTCCTCTACACTGTAACTTTTTCTATAAACACTGTAACTTTAGACAATTAAGAACTCAATTTTATGACAATACGGACATAGAAAGTAAAGAATTTAGTAATTCAATGGATTTTTGCAATTAATAATAAGTTTAGATATTTTATTTTAACCAACGTTTTTCTTTTTATACCTGATGTGCTTTCTCCAATTCCCGTTGAAGCTGGATGATTTTTTTTTGTAGGTGATCCGTATAACCACTGTTCTCGCCAGTAGACTTTTTCAGCTCGTTGTACTTTTCCTCCATTTGGTCCTTCTCCTGCATTACCTCGAGGTATTTGTTTTCCAGATTTTGTTTTGACTTTTCGCTCTCTTGAGATATCTTTTTTTGCTGCTGCCTCAACTCGAGCAGCGTGGCTTCAAGCTTTTTTGAATTCTCCAAGGCCACTTCTTCTTTTTTTTTGCAGTCATCTTTAAGATCCTGATGCTCGGTCTGAAGCAGCTTATAGTTCTGTTGTAAAGCGTTGAAACGCTGAGTCGCTTCAAGACTATCTTTGTCCCGCAGTGAGCGCTCGCGTGAAGCTTTTTTCTGAAGCTCTTCCTTGGCTGCGGCGTTTGCACTTTCCTCGTTGGACAGGGTCTTCTCCAGCTGCACCTTGTATTCGTAAATTACTGTAACGTGAAATAAATACCATAAACTTTATTCAACTTTTCAACATATATATATATATTTATTGTTCGTAAAAATATTGGGCTCGTTAACGTAAATAAAAAAAAAATTTTATTTTCAACGTTGTTATACATGTTCTTATTTTATTAAAAAAACAACTTGTGGATTAATTTCAAAATTTTATAGGTTTATATAATAGTAATCTATCATATAAAACATTAGGAGCTTTCAACAAATCATTTCCTTATAAATGCAATTTTATGTGATTCATCCATAAGGTTAAATAATAAATTGAGGTTTTTAGAACGAAGTCCTTTATGTCACGTGCTTGGGGAGCTGAAATTTTAAAAACTACAGATTTTCATGAATCG